GAGCCGTAGAAACCTTGAAATTCATGAAAGCCAAGGAGTTCAGAAGCTATGGTAAATAGAAGGCGCCATTTAATGACACCAACTTGCAATACAGTTTATAAATATTAACTGAAGCATAGATAGATACCTGGCTCTCACTCAATGATTCCCTCTTCCCTGTCGCAGGAAAAGGTTCATTCCCAGTGGTTTTTAGCTCAATGAATTTCATGAACTATCATCCGTTATTTCAATCCAGCAAATTCAAACTATTGCTATTTTAAAAAACCAGACACATATTAAATAGTGCTAACTCTTGAGGAGACCTTAGTCCCACACTCCAGCATATCATTCAAGGAGAGATATTTCTTTGTAATGTAATAAAACACATTCTTCATGGTTCACAGTATTTTTGGCCCAGCCATGCAGACACACCAAGTCAAAACTTGCTTATAATTATCACATCTACTTCATTCTAAACAACTACAAAAAAGAGTCAGGGTAATACCTCCCACTTCCGACGCACGCAGTCTCCTAGGCAGATATCCTACACGCCTCAGCCCACTTGCTAACACGGGCTGTGACAAAGACCACTCAGTCCTCCTGGAGAACCCACAGCCTCACAGCACTTGAGCCTGCCACCATGAAAACGTTGTGGTGGATTCTGTGAAGCCCACAGAGTGCACACACCATGTGTGGCCTTCAGTCCGGTCAGAAATGACACCTAAGAGAGGGGTGCCTGGCTGCAAGATGTGGGGCCTGGTTCTGTCAGGGAAGCTCACCTGTCGGGTTTGCAGGGATGTCCAGGAGGGTCTTCAGCAGCTTCATATCCTTAATGTTGTGGATATAAATGGACTCTTCCAGGCAAACCAGCAACCTCTGCAATCACAAAGATCCTAAGTCCCCTGCACGGACTCTGGGACAAGGGCTCCACCCCGAGACGCCATCCTCCATGGAGTCCAAAGTTGGTCTTACAGCTAAAGAGGAGGGCTCCGATGCCGTCTTTGAAGGCCAGGCTATTTACGGACATGGGCACATGCATCACTGTTCGTTAGAACAGAATTTTAAAACACAAGATCTTCAGCCTCCTCCTCCTCTTCCTCCTCCTCCTCCTCCTCCTTCCCCCTCACTCTCTCTCCTCCTTCCCTCCCTCCCCTATCCTCTGGGACTTCTCTCACTTAGAGCAGGGATTTCCGAACACCTGGTCATATTCTCTTTTTCATTTAAGATACTCTGAGGTCACTCTTTGGTTCTTACTTCCATTTGACAAGGGGTCTTTCTATTTGTTTGTTTGTTTTCTGTATTTTAGTTCAGGTCTACAGGGTACCAGTACGTACATCGGACTCATGGTGATTCTCCTCTTTTCAGCTTCCCAAGCGCTGACATTACAGGTGCGCGCCACCACGCCCAGTCTCAATTGCTGTCTCAGGGCGCCACTGAGGAGGGGGTGGGCCGGCGGAACAAACCCTGGCCACTGCGCTCTGCCTAAGCAGGCGCTTCAGTCCGCTGAGCTAGCACGCTGGCCTGACAAGGTGTCTTTCGGTGCTGGTAACAAAGGCCTCCCTCAGACAAACATGGGCTTCTCTGTATCACCGCCTCTCAGGTGTGACCCCTCTCCAAATACAGATTTAACCTCCCTGATCCAAACTTTCAAAACGACCTGCCTGAATTTGAGCATCAGTACTTAAAAAATGTTCAGATTTTGGATTTTCAGGTTAGGAATGCTCAACCAGCAAAGTCTATACAAATATTCCAAAATCTGAAAGACCCTGCGGTCTCGTATCTTTCTGGTTCCATGTATTTTTACATGAGGGATAATTAGACGTTAGTGCCCAGCTTTGCCTTCACTCCAAACCTTCCTCCAGACCCGCTGCTGTGCCACCCCCAACGCCCTGGTGAGGGAGGCTGGTGACGCCCTCATGCTGACGCCATCAAAGTCAAAGGGCCCTGTCCCCTCCCGGCTCCCCTCTTGGTGCTCCTCCACCCCAGTGGCTGCAGATGCCTCTCTGCCGGGTGGTGCCCTGTGATTTCAGGAACGGAAGGCGGAGTCCAGCCCAAGCCCAGCTAGGACTGGTTAGGAGGTGCAGGGAAGGCTGTGGTGCTCAGACCACGCTTTCCACACCCCGAGCAGCTGCTGCAGCCCCGCACAGGCCTGACAGGGCTCCTTCGGGGTCCTGCTTCCCAGACTTGGATGAGCCCCAGAATCGCCCAGGAGCCACGCCCTGGTCTGCAGAGATTCCAGCTGGGGACATCTTTAACCGCACACTGCAAACGACTATGCTGAACACAAGGTTGGGGAGCCAATGCTTGCGTCAGAGCCTCTGAAGCCCAGGAAGACCGGCTATGAGAGAAACTACCTGCAGTATTACAAAATAGGTGGCAGGTTTCCCTCCAGGGAAGGCTTGTTTCTACTGTGCCACAGGTCTGAGACTGAGTGTTTAGAGGTTCAAACAAAGACCTAACAGAATCTCAAGGCTGATGACAAACACCAGTTTCTCTGTACAGTGTGGATCCTCTAACTTGCTGGCCACTTTGATGGCCTGCAGCATGCACCATCATTGGGACAGCCGGCTTCCATGCCTGTTTCTGCTCGGGGCTTCTGCACCCCCCAGCTCCCCTCCCAGCCCTGCGCCCAGTCCCCACAGCAGCAGGGCGCCTGCGTGAACCCTGAGCTCAGCTGATCTGATCTACACTGTCTGCTGTCCACTCTAACAGTGTCAGCCCCTCTGGGGCCCACTCAGCTGGATTTCCAGGCACCCCCCATGCTGGCTGTAGAAGGGAATTAAAAGGGAGGGGCAGAGAAAGAAAGCACTGGAAAGGAACAAGGAACCACTGCATCTTGTTTCATGTTAAAGCATGCTTCTAGAATGAGCAAAGACTGGTAACTGCCTGTGCTGCCTGCCTGCCTGCCTGCCTGCCTGCCTGCCTGCCTGCCTGCCTGCCTGCCTGTCTATCCATCCATCCATCCATCCATCCATCCATCCATCCATGACACTTCACACTTTACAACCCCACCTCCTTTTATTTTGAGACAAGGTCTTGCTGTGTTGCCAAGCAACACTCAAACTTCTCATCCTCCTGCCTCAGCCTCCTAGAGTAGAGAGATTAGGGGGCTGTTCCCCCATGCCCAGCGGTAGCTGCTTTTTTAATCCATCTGCACCAGAGCCATGGCCTTGCCTCTAATACAGCCCATTGTCGGTCATCTTGATTTCCTCCCCTTTCTTAGTTTTATAAGTAGTACTCCTCTGCAGCAATTCAAAAAATATAGCAAGTCTGCTGGGAGCACCACAGATGTAGCCTCCGTGGCATCAGCCCAGGCAAAATGCAAAGGCCAAAGGACAGTGAACTTTGTATATCTTAAATACATCTGCCTTATCGTCCTTATCTCATAAGATACAGTTCACAGTTAAATACAAGGAATATCACAGCAAGTAAAAACGAAACATGATACTGTTCCTAAAGATTTTTCCTTTTTGTATTATTCAGCAGAAAATAGAGATTTGGAGAGCTAGCCAGATAGCTCAGTGGACTAAAGCACCTGCTTAGGCAGAGCTCAGGAACCGGGGTTTGATCCCCGGTGTGCTGTGCCCGCCCCACCCCCGGGGGTGCACTGAGAGGGCAACTGAGACTGGGTGTGGTGGCGCGTGCCTGTAATCCCAGTGCTTGGGAGGCTGAAAACAGGAGGATCATTACATAATCCAATCTACATAGTAACACTCTGTAGACCCTGTACTAAATACATTTAGAAAAAGGAAAAAAAAAAAAAAAAAAGTAGAGATTTGGGTTGCTTACAACCATTATTTACATAAATCTGTAATTTTTTTTCCTATCTGAAAAAGTATCTGCACTTTCCAGATCAGCCTCAAGTAATTTTTTGAGGCCAGTCAGATCTGGCCTCCCGCTAGCTTGGCTACTGCCAAGCAGCGCATGGCATCCCCCTGAAGACGGGGTGCGGGACCCTCAGGCTCGTGAGTGTCCCGCTGAGAAGCGGCTGGCACCACAGGTCAACAGTGCCCCACACGTGAAGGCTCCTGAGAAAGCACACAGGTAAGCTCAACGGGTATCATTCTGCGTTCTCATCTTTAAAGAATATTTCACTAAACAGTCTCAAAAAGATAATGAGGAGTGAGAAAAAGACATTTAACCTTCATATATTGACTACGATGGGGTCCCAAAATAAAAACGTCTCTGACAAAAGTTAATGTGCTACCAACACATCTCAGAGAAAGGATTTGAGCAGATAATTCTGTTCAAAAGCGTTTGTGTAGAACACTCTCCAACCGCCTTCCCCTCTCGTGACAAGAACACAGACTTCGCTTCTTTCTTATGCTGGCTACTCCTCGCTGAGAAGTCCCCACGCTTTCATTCACTGGCCAGTTTTCTACCACCCTACTTTCTAAGAACTGAAGTGGCGCTTCAGTCTAAACAGCAGACGGGCTCCAAGCAGCAATCTCTTCCTTCCCTGAAATTCAAGGAAGCACTGTGTTTCCCTGTACAAAAACAATAATCAGGGGTGCTGGGGTGGTAGCGCAGCGGCGCAGTGCCTGGCTGGCCAGCTGAAGGTCCTGAGTTTGATTCCTAGTACCCCGCCCCCCATTAGTACTTAATAGCTTAGGTACAAAGAAACTAAGTCTTCAGTGGGTGCAACTACCTCTGCCTTCCTGAGAATGCTTAACTGAACAGAGATCTCTGGATGCTCACAAAAAGCTTTTTGTTTATTTATACAAGAGCCAGGAAACAGACACTTCTGACCATTTTCCCACCAAGTCTTAAAATACTAAGCAAAACTGCCCCGGCCTCTGCTCTCATAAGATGTAAAATTCAGTAGCCGCAGGGGAGATCTGCTGATGCCTCAAACACTTATTTCACAAGAGCTTATATTTTCAAAGCTAATGGACTGCATATATTCAATGTTTAAGATAAGAGGAATCCTTCCTTCAACAAAGAAAATGCTACAATAAAACTTCTTTAGGGGTTAGCTGGAAAAAAAGAAAAATGGAAGCATAAGAACTCACAGCTGAGGCCAGGGAGATAGCTCAGTAGCACCTGCCTGGCAAGCGCAGGGTCCTGAGTTCAATCCCTGGAACCAAAAAAACAAAAAACAAACAAACAAACAAACAAACAAAAAACCCCAGAATACTCACAGCTGAGCTTCCAGGAAAGTCCATATAGATGACAAAAGAGCAATTGTGCCACCTGCCTTCAGAGCTACTGCAGGTGGACCACGCTCACCCTCAGGTGTCTGCTTTTCGGAGGCAGAGCCATGAACCCCAAGGAATGCCCCTGTCTCGGCCGGCCAAGGTCAGGGGGCTCGTTCTTCTGGTCTCATACTGACAGTGCACCCATCCCTTGCCTGTCGCCCCACGGGGCAGTGCTGAACCACTGGTGGCACATGCTCGACTGTTACATTGGGTGGCGTGGGACAGCTGTGCTTGTATCACTGGGAACGTGTTCAGGTGACCCTGTGGAGGCTCAAGGGACACACCCGAGCCTGAGTTCGAAGCTGTCCCTACTGGTACCTAGTTAGCACCCTACCCAGGGGCAGAGGTCACATGGCTGACACTGGGGAGAGAATGCAGGCTGAAGAACCAAGGCAAATTCACCACTGACAAAATGAACAAAATGGAGTGGATGCTGTTTACACTATGCCCAGGGAAGCAGACACACATGTTAAATCAAAAGTCAAGTTACTAGCTTTGTGTGTGTGTGTGTGTGTGTGTGTG